GATATGCGACAGTCAATGCACACTGCGACGAGCGAACGCGCGCGCGCGCGCGCGGCGGTGGCACGCCGCTGATAGGTCTTATGGCATGGTCTAATGCCATAGGAGCGGCTTTGAAGCCCAAGACTACATGGTGAAAACACAGTGTGCACATTCATTCCCCGATCGGAAAACGTGACCCTACCAATGTGGTTATACAATGCTGAATACACGATGCGAAGCGCCATCGCGTGCGCGCGCGGCGGCACACCGCTGACATATTAGATAATAAGAGAGGCGACGTTGCCATACAAAACCCACTGGTGAAAACCGAATGTAAAACTACATTCCCTGATCGGGAGACGGGGTCGTAACAAAGTGAGTATGCGACACTGGACGCCCCATGCGAAGCGCCAGAGCGCGCGCGGCGGTGGCGCTGCGATTATATAGTTTATACAATGGGAGCGATGTTCACATACAAAACCCACGGGTGAAAACCCAATGTAAAAATTCATTCCCTGATCGACAGACGGGATCATACCAATGTGCATGCGACGCTAAATGCGCATTGCACAATGCGGGGTGCCAGCGCACGCGGCGGCGGCACGCCGCGAATATATTTATTGCGGCTATGCTGAAGCCCAAAACCCGAGTGTGAAAACCCAATGTAAAAATTCATTCTCTGATCGGAACACGGGATCATACCAATTTGGAAATGCAACGCTGCATACGCACTGCGAAGCGCCAACTAACCAGCGCGCGCGATCGCGCGCGCGCGCGGCGGCGGCACGCCGCTGATAGATGTTTGTGCGATCGGGGCGGGGCCCCAACCCCAATGGTGAAATCCAATGTAAAAACCCACTCCCTGATCGGAAACGGTGCCGTAGCAATGTAACAATGCGGGTGCACAAACACTGAATGCACAATGCGGGGCGCCAGCGCGCGCGCGGCGGCGGCACTTCGCTGGTGCATTTTATAATATCGGTGCGACGTTGAAGCCCAGAAACCAATGGTGAAAACCCAATGTAAAAATTCATTCTCCGATCGGAAGACGGGATCAGACCAATGTGGATATGCGACACTGAATACACAATGCGACGTACCAGCGCGCGCTCGGCGGGCGGCGCTGGCACGCCGCTGCAAGAATTTATACACTGTGAGCGACGTTGAAGCCCAAAACCCAATGGTTAAAACACAATGTAAAAATCCATGTTCTGATCGGCAGACGGGGTCTTAATAATGTGAGCATACGACACCGAATATACACTGCGAAGCAACGGCGCGCGCGCGCGCGAGCGCGCGCGGGCGACGCGCGCGCACGGCGGCGGCGCGCCGCTGATGCATCTTCTATTACGGGGGCGATCTTGAAACCAAAAACCCAATAGTGAAAACCCAATGTAACAAATCATTATCCGATCGGAGGACGGGATCATAGATGTGATTATACGGCGCGGAATACTCAAAGCGAAGCGCTATCGCGCGCGCGGCGGCGGCACGCCGCTGGTACATGTTATAGTATCGGGACGATGTTGGAGCCCAAAACCCAATTGTGAAAACCCAATGTAAAAATCCATTCTCTGATCGGAAGACGGGATCATACAATGTGGATAGACGACGCTGCGTACAGAATGCGAAGCGGCAGCGCGCGCGCGGCGGTGGCACGCCGCTGGTCGATTTTTATATGATGGGGGCGATCTTGAAACCAAAAACCTTATGGTGAAAACCGAATGTAAAAAATTCATTCTCTGATCGGAAGACGGGGCCATACCAATGTGGATATACGACGCTGAGTACACATCGCACAAGGCGAAGCGCCAACGTGCGCGGCGGTGGCACGGCGCTGATAGATTTTAGAAGATGGGACGATGTCGAAGCCCACAGCCCACCGAAGAAAACCACATGGGGAAAAAACAATTTCTGAGCTGATGACGGGATCATACCAATGATGACATGCGGCGCTGAACGCATAATGCGAAGCGCCAAGGAGTGCGTGCGCGGCGGCGGCGCGCCGCTGATAATTTTGATATTATCGGGGCGATGTTGAAGCCCAAAACCCAGTGGTGACCACCCAATGCAAAAATTCATTCACTGAGCGGAAGACGGGGTCATACCAATGTAGATATACAACGCTGGATACACAATGCACGACGCGAAACGCGCACGCGCGCACGCGCGCGGGCAGGGGAGGGGACGCTAAAGCGCTAAAGAATGCAAATCCTTTTGGCCCTCTGGCGAACCCCAACCGCAAGCCACCTGGAACCCTCCGCGAGAGGGCGCTCGGCGCGTGAGCTTGCTGGCGGAGGAAGAAGATAAGGAACAGCAGAACAGCAGTAGTATACATTAAATACGAAGGGGTGAACTTGACAGCTGGAAGTCAATCATAGGAAGAGGGAGGAAACGACGATGCGTGGGGAATGGAGGAGCGGGCATCACTATGTTGACTGAACTCTACAATTAAGGCGATGCGTTACAACAACCAACAAACAAAAAAAACCAAGCACACAAAACAAACAAAAAGACAACACAAAAAAAACAAACAACAAAAACAAACGAAAAAAAAAAATACAACCGAAAACAAACAAAATACAAAGCACCAATAACACAACAGAAACGACTGACAGGCATGTTTGTTAATAAAGAAAAAAAAAAAAAAAAAAAAAAAAAACAAAAAATAAAAAAATAACAAAAAAAAAAAAAAAAAGTAAAAAAACAAAAGAAAAAAAAAATAAATATAAAAAAAAAAAAAAAAAAAAAAAAAAAAGAAAAAAAAAAAAAAAGATAAAAAAAAGAAAAAAAGAAACAAAAAAATTAAAGCTAAAAAAAAAAACCGAATCGGAGGTTCAGTTGACGTCAGACGCGGCCCTTTTGTGGCCACAAGGCGGGACAAAAAAGAAAAAACAAAAAACACAACAAAAAACCGGAGAGCTCGGGCGATCGGTCAATCGGTTCAGAGGCAGGCAACTCAGATCCCCTAAGGGCCCCGATGAGATTCAGAAGGCGGCAGTCTGCGAGGCCCCAACAACACCCAGTCATTTCTCCGAACGGTTCGGTTCGGCTCGATATTTATATTGAACCCTCGCTGTTCCTATTGTGATCGTCGTTGTTGCCGTCGTCGCGTTTATCCTGATGATTTCGTCCTGCCCCCCCAAGCACGAAATCAAAAGGACAAAGGAAGGAAAAAACAAAGCAAAAACAAAAAACGGGAAGAAAGACATACGAGCAAAACATAAAGTGAAAAACGATAAAATAAGGCTAACAAAGATCAAGCAAATAAAGAAGAACAGGCAAAAAACATAAAATGAACAGCAAAACAACCAAACAAAGATCATCGCCTCGTCGCTACTACATGCCCCACCCCTTCCCGCGAAACCCACTTGATCCAAGCACCCCCGCTCCAAACGCGTAGTGATCCTCCGCCTCTTTATTTATTTTGTTGGCTGCAGTGCTGGCGGACTTGGCGAAAGCCAGCCGAAATCTGAAAACGCGAACTTTCGGCGGACGCGGCAAATGCCAGTCGAAATCACAGAGGGTGCATCACGTTTTTTTGCCAACAAAGGCTCAACAGTACGTGCAACATACTCAAGTGACATGTGGGGGCTCGTCGCCCTCACCGTCCTTAGGCGGGCGCTCTTTCTCAATCAACGCCTCGGACCCATGCGCGGCCTCGAGCTCAGCGCGAGCTGTCGCCCTTTCATCAAACGAAGGCCTGACCCAACCTGCAAAGGTGCTGTTTGCGTGCGAATCTGGGTTCTGGAGCCAAGCAGAGAGAAGCCCCAAAGGGCGCCCCTGACCCCTCCTTCTGCCAGGATTGCTAGTGCGAGTCAGACAACAAGAAAACCCTGCGACAGAATGCAGACGACACATCGCAACAAAATTTCGATCTGAATTGTAGAATGAAATGTGACCGTTGTCCCAAGGAACTGTGACTGAACCATCTGGGTGATGGACTGGTGGTGGCCTTCCGAACGGTGGTGGCGGTGGTGGCGGAGGCGGCAGCGGCGCCTCCGGCTTCGGCAGCCCATCTCCGCCATGCAGATCTGGTGGAGGAGGTGGCGCTGCATCATCTGGCGGACCACCTGGGCCAGGATCGCCCATGGGATCATCGCCATCTGTGTCAGGTTCAGGAGTTGCGTCGCCACCGACTGGAGTAGGGGGACACCCAACGTCCACTTCATCATCTGCCTTGCCTGTGTCTCCATCACCCTTGGAAGATTCAGAACGAACACGCTCGCCGAATATTGATCCAAATATCGAGTCGGAATCATCCGCGCCATCACTTCCTGCCTCAGCTTCGCCGGACCCGAGAGGGTCAGCATCAGCATGGTCGCCGCCGTGATGGCCTCCTGGATGGTCAGGTTCAGAATCGCCGCCAGCAGCATCGTCAACGGCCTTCTTGCGGCGAGCCCCAGAAGAACCTCGACCTCGGGCGCCTGGGCCATCGCCACCGCGTGGTTCACCACCTCGGCGTCGCTTGCGTCGAGGTCGAATGGCCTCATCCATGTCGGCCTGGCCACCCCACCACAAATGATGAGCAGCCTCACCAAATTCGATGTAGTCCTGAATGGCAGGGATGAACTGTGGTGTGTGGGTACTTGTCTCCCTCAGTAGAAACCAGCTGGCGTACCACTTGTAGGTCTTGTTGAACTGACCCAGATAAGGCCAGAAATTGATTACCTCTCCAGTGTCTCTGGCGTTGCTGATGTACCGCTGATTGCCGTGATCTTCCATGTCAGTAAAATCCAGCAGTCGAAATGCACAGTCAAACGTGTCACCATCCACATCGCAACAGTGAACCAATCTGATGTCATAGTCTCCGTGCAAACCTGCATTGCAAGAACTTTTCCTCATGGTCCTTCTCCTACTCCTCCTTATTGTCACCATGGCAACCCTTGCCCCCCTCCAAAAAAAAACACAGTTTTTTATCATACCTGGAACTCCTCCTCACCTTGCCCTTGGAATCCTAGAGTCCGAAGGCCCCTCCCCCAGGCCCCAGGGTGTCTTGAAGTTGCTAGTGCTGTGAGAACCTTCGGGCTCCCCCATCAACAAGACCGCAATGCGGCCGTTCTCCATGTGAATGCGGCCTGGTGCCTTGAACTGCTTGGAGAAGTGGCGGCGGACGAGCTTCTGCAGGCTCTTGCCGAAGGCCATCAAGATTGTGCCGCCGTCGCCACAGAAACACATACCACGCTTCCAACATGCGAAGCCCGACGTCGCAAACTTTGGCAACTTCGGCAACGTGGAATGGGCGATTACCTTGTGCTTCTTGTCCCAATCATCGGCGAGAGCTAGACGAAGCACCTTCAGCTCATTGTCACCCCTAGCAGACATTGTACAAGCTCGCATGGCGATGTCTTTTAGCATCGGGACCTGGAACTCGAAGAGATCAGCGCGTGGAAACTCAGTCGGCAAAGGCGATGACGAAGAAACAAACCCCTCCACTGTCGATAAGAACCCTCGACCAGGCTCCGAGGTGACCTTCTTGCTGTAATCGGTAGACCATTTGACCAGCGAGCTGTTGCACTCACTCGCCACAAGTCGGATAACTGCCGAGCCTTCTCGCGACAGCTTGCGCAACCGCCGCAGGTCGCTGTCCTCAAAGTTGCGCTGCAGAGCAAAGGACGCCGATGGACGAACAATGGCGAGTGCCTGCGTCGAGTTCTCGTCGAGGATGGCCGATGCTGCTGCCCTGGCGCGCTCACGATCAGTGCGTCTGCGAGCTCGCGCCGAAGCTCGCTGCACATCTCTGTCGGTGAGCCCGAATGCTGCTACGCCCTGCTTGTGCAAGGCCGTCGCGTCCTTCCCTCTGTCGCGGAGGTCTTGCTGCTCCTCGGCGGAAAGGGCACGGTACTCCATTGATAGAGCGGAGGTGTTGAGCAGCTCGCGGCCTCCACGACCACGCGTGGAACAGAACAAACGCCATGGACCACCGCCGCCGCCCCTGCGCCGCACAGGTACCACCGCTTCCGCGGCTCGAAAATGTTTGGCCTGGCCGATGGTCAGAAGCTCGTGGAGCAACAAGTTCGGATGAACAATGCCTCGAAGGACGAATGATGAAGAAGCCCTCGCCAAAGCCATCGCCGTCGTTTGCACTCTGCTCATCACGTCGCGGCGGACGCTGGCGTGGCGGGCTTCGATCTGGGCCGTGTCGATGCTGGCTAAGGTGGCAACCAAGAATACCTCAAGCCGCAGATTCGGATGATTCCAATCTCTATCGTAGTGATCAAGAAGGGATCGCGTCCAAGGATCCTGGATGCACGGTGGTTCCTGCCCCATTTGCTCCACCACAGAATTATCATACAGAATGCCGAATGTACGGAAAGGGTACGCAGCATGGGCCTCCACCAATTTATTCGCTACCCTGCCGGAAGCTGCGGCAACCAACTTGTATACCAGAGCTCGCATCTGGACAGTCCTCTGTCTCGGCAAAAGCACGCACCACTGGCTCTCATCTGTCAGCAACCGATTGAAATACTGGAGAGCCTCAACGTCATGCCTGCAAGGATTACGCAAACCATGCAGAAATGACACCGAAGCGAAAGCATATTCACAGCATCCTCCTCCTCCTTTCCTCTCCTCTCTTTCCCCCGTGCGTGCGTGACATTCCCCCCGTGTCTCCCCCGCCCCGTGCTGCCCTAACTGTTCGGACTCATCGCCCCCGCGCGCCACCTGTCCCGTTGTTGCGTTTATGTTGGAAGGAGCGTGGGGAGAGCGAGGGAGGCGATCATGCGCGCCCCCTCAGACGCGCGACTGTCCGCGCCCCAAACAGAAAAGGCGCCCCCCCCCCCCCCCCGGTTTATCTCCGCAAGCGGACATCGATTCGGGCGCCAACGGGGAGGACTCATCGCGGGTCCTGGCGGGGCAACGCGGAGACACGAAAAATCTGCAAATAACGCAGCCAACGCCTGCACGGGAGCCGCCTTTCGAGCCCCCAACGGGGCCACGACGAGCCATGCATGATACGCGGGACTTTGCATTTCAGAGTTTTGACAGGGACCAAAAGAACAGCGAAGGTTGAAACTTGTTTTTGGGAAGTCTTGGACTTTACACCCGCCGATCTCCTCCTCCTCCGAACCGCCACCCTCCACTTAAGGAGGGCGCCCTTGCTCGTCGATGGCATGGCAACCCCACTACCCGACGAAAGGGGCCAAGACCACCCCTGCCCCCCCGCCACGCCTCAGCACGGCCCTACGGCATCCCCGCTGGTCGCACTGGGGTGCGAGGGGTGGGCCCGCCGCGGCGCCGCTAGGCTGCCGACGACGGACTCTGGGGGTCTGGCGGGCTGCCACCGCGGGCATTGCACGAGCCCCCCCCGCCTCCTCCTTTACAAAAAACGCGCATTTGCGCAACAAGCCTTGAACACCAGGACCCGAATATGAATGATGCCAACAATCGTAAACGTTTGGCGGCTGGGCATATTGAGGATGAGGAGCCAAAAGTTCTAGGCATTTAGCATGTAGCAATGCAGTTTGCTTGCGCGCGCGCACGCATTCACAATTTCGGCGCTCGGTGAGCACGCTTTAACTATAAAGCTGGCAACCGCTGGGGGCTACTGATGAGCCCACTCCAGCATGATTGTTCTGACTTAGCGTACGCAACGCAACGCCAAACGCGCGAGCGCGAACGCACGCCAAGCGCCCCCACGCTGCTTGACATGTGACAAGCCCATGTTAAGTCCGAAAACCAATCGGCCACAGCACAGCGACAAGTTTAAGCCTCAGCCCAGCAACGCTGCTGTTCTTGCTTTTCGCTGGTGACAACCACGCGCGCGCGCACCTCGCATGCTACCTGAGCACATGGAACTACAGTGGTTCGGCGCCTGTCAGCAGCTTGCTCTTCGATTCAATGGGTGCCATCGCAAGTGCCCTTGTCGCGTAATTGCCAGCGAGCGGCTTCTGCGCCGCGTGCGCCGCGGCATCGCAATGTGCACTCGTGCGTGCGTCGCGCGCTAACCCACTTGATGCGCGCGCGCCGACCAAGCCAGTTGCCTTCGCGATTCGGCAAACGCGAAGGGCCCACATCATGACTTTTCAAACCAGCAAGCAGGCGACCTTGCTTCCGATGCTAGAAAGAAGCGCCACGCGCGGTCACGTGCGCGCACGTCGTGCGCAGACCCTTGCTAATTGACATGTGACAGCCTAATGCCGCGCCATCTGCTAAATGGAACAATGCCGAGGGCGCGCGCGGAACCGCTGGTCGAAATGATTGCTTCCCCGACGCGAGACGCGCGAGAGCCTTCGCGCGCGTCGCGGCCCGCGCGCTGACGCAGCTGATTGAAACGCAGCGCTGGCACCTGAACATTGCAGTCCAATCTGCCAGCGCTAGATATTCACATCAGGATTCTGGCTGGCACCGCGGCTTCGCTAATTTTGCAGCGGCGTAAACCATGCGGCGAGCGCGGGCGCGCGCGGCGTTCTGAACCAGCCGCCGCGCTGTAAAAGGACCGCGGGTTGCCTCGGAAACCTGTTCGGTCACAACCAGCAGCGATATGGCGGTTGCCCGCGGAGCTGGCAGGCACCCCCTGCGTGCAGTATAGAAGCTGCACTACGCGAGCGCGCGCGCTGTGCTGAACCATACCGACTGGCGCTTGCGAGGCAGCCGTTGCGTTCGAGGTTGCGTCGGCCACTCCTCTGCGCGAAAGCATGCGTCCACCGCGCCGGGCCGCCGACTCCACTGTACGTGGCGCATAAGTCGCACCTCCGCGCGCAAATCGCATGCCCGTTCGATTGCGCGGCGCGAAACCCGCGCATGCCCACCTAGAAACCCGAAGCTGCCATCGCCAGTGACAATGCCAGAAGGAAGCCTGGCATCAACGCAGGCACAACAAGGCATCCCCATTGTTGCACAACGTCGGGGCCGCCACCATCGCGCACCTCGCGCCGCGCCCGACGGATGACGCGCGGCGCGCGCGCGTTGAATTCGACCCGATCGGCTGCCGCACGGCCGCGCAACCTCACCCAAACCAACGCGGCGATTTCCGTGCTGCGTGCAGGGGCTGGCAGACAAGTCGCGCGCGCGTTTTTCCGTGGCCGCCACGACTTGCTTGCAACAGGGGTATGCGGACTGCGCGGAGCCCATAATCAAACGCGGCTCTGATATCACGTGGCCACCGAATCAATGGCGGCGGCATCAATTATTACGAGCCTCGGCAAGCCCGCCCCGCGCGCGCGCCGACGCCCCTTGCGCGCGCCCAGGCGACGCCCGCCCGATGCGCCAACGCGAAGTTTGACCTCCGATCGACCACCACGCAGAGCCAAGCGCGCATTTAACTGCGGTTGGGGGTTGCGTTGTTGCTCTCGGGCGTAAACGCAGCAAGCCCAGCAACGTGCTCGCGCAAGCGCGCGCGGCGCATCGACCCAAGCTGTGAACGCGCGGCGCGCATCCGCTGGCGCAGGCATGCATCCCTCCCTTGCAGGGCCCCACTTCGGCATCCATGCCAACGTGGCCACGCCGCCGCCGCGCTGACCGCGCGTCGATGACACGCGCTCGCGCCGCGCAATCAAAACCGAGTTGCCGCGCGATGTTGCGTCGCTAACATCAAAGAGCAATCGCCTGGGAATGCCATGTTCATTCGCAACTTGGCCGCCACATAGACGCCTGAACTCAAAGTTACAGGGAGGTCGGGCAGCTGCGGGGCCAAACGAAACCCGAGCAGCCAGCCGATCAATTGACAAGCGGTGGCCCGCGCGAGCTCCGAAATGCAATCGGGCCAAACCGCGCGAACGCTGTGGCGCGCAAATCAAAGCGATGATTCCTGCGCGACGAAAGCGGGTCCACGCGCGCGCATAGACGTCCTCGCGCGGCGCGGCGCCCGCGGGCCCCCGAGCGGCAGGCACCCGCGACGCTCGAGACGGCGCCAGCAACCGCTGTTGATGTCCACTCGCGCTGGGGCTGTGAACACGACTTCCGCACCGACCACTAATCGGATCCACCGACGCGCGCGCGTCGCGCATTTGGCGCGATTGGTTGGCGCGCGCCGCAGCGATGCACCCGCCCACCCCCCGCCCCCCTTTTCCCCGCCGCGCGTAAAGCCAATTTTACAGCGACGAAGTCCTGGTGTCTAGTTCAAGCCGCCGCCAGGGCATAATCCACGTTTGCCGTTGGGGCAACAGTCGCCAACGCGGGCGCACTGGCGCGTCGTGCGTTGACGCGATTGCATGGCGCGCGACGGGCCGCGCGATGGCTTCGCAGGTTCTGGCCGCCGCTACTGGCAAGCGCTCAACACCTTGTAACCATTGCGATTGCCCGACGGTCGCAGCCCGACGCCCACGCAGCGCGCGCCCTGCGCACTGGGACATCGCAGATGGCTTGGCGCACATGAGCCCAGGATTTGCGCCTTCCAAAACAATGCCCTATGGCGTTGCGCGGTCGACATCGGCCGCCAGGCGCGGGCCCCGCCGATGGCGCCACCCATGCCCGACCCGCGGAACTTAATCGTTGGACCTCGCCGATCCAGCATTCAGCCCGCTAGCGCAAAGACGCAAGCGCGCAACCGAAATAACACGTTGCCCTTCGCGTCGCGACCCCACCGCGCTCTCTGGAAGGCCGCGGCTCGCGGAACCGCATGCCGCAATGGGCGTCGAGCCGCCGCGCCAATGCCGCAACCGCCAAATCGGCGGCGCGCCGATGCGCGACACGCGCGCGGCCGCCCAACGACAGTGCATCGGCGAGCGCGCAACGACGCGAGCAACGCAATGGACGCGCAATGGTCGCCGCCGAACGGGCGAGCGCGAAACGCGTCTGGCTGCGAGAACCCGTTCTTGCAGCACCGCTGCCCAAACGCACTACCATGGGGGCAGCCATGCGAGCTACGCAATCGCTTCGCTCATCGCAAGCTTGCGCTAGACATGCGCTCGGAAGGACCGAATTCAACGCGACCGTGGCCGACGCGCTGCCGCTGGGAGAAACAACGCGGGCCACGCGAGTTCGGCTTCGCGCGCTTGCTCGCATGCCAATCGAGAGACCGTGCGCCACCGCGGCCGCCGCGAGACCATCCCAGGCAACACGGGGCACGCATGGTTCATCAAGCGGCGCGTTGAACAAGCAAGACTCGACCACCAAATAAACTGCGAGCGCACATGCAGGCTGTGACCAGCGCTGCCGCACCGCCCCGCAGAGTCGGAACAGCGCGAACCAGAACCACGCAAGCGCAACCGCAGCGCAACGACCTATGTGTACAACACCCATCGATGGACGACACTGGGCCCAACTGCATGCGAGCGCTTTTCACACCATCAGGTTCAAGCGAGGCATAAGCCAAACTGCGCGCAAAAAGTAAAAAAAAAAAAAAAAAAAAAAAAAAAAAAAAAAAAAAAAAAAGAAAAAAAAAAAAAAAATAAAAAAAAACAACAAAAAAAAAAAAACAAAGAAAAAAAAAAAAAAAACAAGTCAAAAACAAAAAAATAACAAAAAAATCGAAAAAAAGAACAAAATAAAGTGGAGCCGCGTTACATGCGCGCCGTAAACCACGCCATTCAAATTCAAACCCGAAGCTATAACTACAACCCACCGCGCGAAAGGGTAACGCAATGGCAGATGGGGTCGCGCAGGCAGTCCCGAGCAAGGCACGGTGGCCGCGCGCGCGCAGTGCGCGGCGGCATGTTTCGAGCAAGCGCCATCAATGCGTTTAACCATACATAAATATACTTAACGCTACCAGCCGTCAGGGCGCGAGTGGTTTAAGGGAGATGCGCAGCGCAACTCTTATTCTTCAACGTCGGAGAGGGGTCACCGCCACAGTTGACCTCGCCGCCCACCCCTGGGCATGGGCGGGGGAGGGGGGCGCGATTTCTCGGAAGGCCGCGCGATGGCCAACCATGGTTCCAACATGGCATCGGTGAACAGAAAGTTAACCCCAAGATGGCTCAAGATGGCGGGCGCTGGCTCAAGACGGCATCGGGCGCGCAAAGATAACCTGCGACGGCTTCAAGTTGGCCCCACACTGGCCAACATGCCACCCAGCGACGCACCATGCGCATCAAGGCTTGTAAGGACCTACACACATTAAACCGCTGCGTTCGGCCTCCTCGCGGCATCAGGCCCGAGGGCCCCCGAAGCCCCGAGGAATCTCGAGATGGCCCAGCCCCGACACAGGCACAACAGTGCAGAGAGAATCCCATTTGCGTTTCCATTGCTAAAGGTTGCCAAAGAAAACCCACAGCGCACCGAGCTGCCCCAGATGTGGTATGCGCGGCGTTTGGGGGGCACAACGATTGGTCCCCATTGCTCCTGCGATCAATAACCCGCAGGGCGCCCCTCCCCCAGAAGAGCCCGAAGTGGCGCTTTGGGGGCCTCAAGGAAACGTTCGACAAGCATTGCCAGGCGCACCCATCATCCAAGATACCGCCAAACAAACATCAAAGGAACGCACGAACAAAAACCACAGACGCTACAAGATGCCCCAGGGACCGCCAACACTCCCGCCCCCATCCTCCTCCTCCTCCTCCTCCTCCTTCTCCCCATGCACTTGCGTAGCCACCCCCCCTCTTCAGGGGCGCGATGGGCGTTGAATGGGGCTGACGGCGAGGGCGCGCGAAGCGTCGAGGTCAAAATGAAGTTCTCGGGCGTTGGGTTGGGTTTGCAGGCGGGAGCGCACGAAGCGTCAAAATCAACGTCAAATTCACCAGACGGCGGACGCCAACATGAGAAACGATGCAAACCCACGGGACCTTTTCAATCGGACGCACTGGGCCCCGCCGAGGCCGCGCTCGAGCACGCGGCGCGCAGCGAAAGGTTTGGACCTGGAATGCCTGCCGCCCTGCGCGGCGGTCACGCGAAAGTTGTCCATGTCCCAGAAATAATCGCCCTGTTGGATCTTAGTCATCGCACCCCAGAGCTGCTTCCGTTCCCATTTGATCCCAGACATCTGAAGGTAGGCCGAAAGTAAACGACGGTGCCCCTCATGAACTCGGCGGAAGATAAACATGTTTGGGAGCATGTGTTGGCGACCCAGCCAGGCGTAAGCACTCTTGCGCCACTTCGTGTTCTCCAGATGGAACGCATCCGTAGGATTCGTTGAAACAAAAAAAAAAAAAAAAAAAAAAAAAAAATAAAAAAAAAAAAAAAAAAAAAAAAAAAAAAAAAAAAAAGAAAAAAAAAAAAAAAAACAAATAAAAAAGTAAAGAAAAAAAAAAAAAAAAAAAAAATAAAAAACAAAAATAAAGAAAAAAGAAAAAAAAAAAAAAAGAAAAAAAAAAAAAAAAAAAAAAACAAAAAAAAAAAAAAAAAAAAAAAAAAAAAAAAAAAAAAAAAAAAAAAAATAAAGCGTTTGTGCGTTGCCGGCGTTCGGGTCGTGTCGGATGAGGTCCGCGGGCGGCTCGTTGCCTCCAGCATGCTCGTCGTCCCCTCCGCCGTCGCCAGCTCCGCGGCCACATTGTGGGCCGCCCTCGTCGCCATGACCTCCATCAGGAAGATCGGGTGGCACTGGGTCGGCAGGGCACCTCTTCTTGCCGAACCATTCTGCATACACAGCATCGAGGAGACCATGGCACGACTGCAGCGTCAACACCCACCTCAGCGTGATCTCTGCACCAGTCCAACGATGTCGTGGATATATGTGCGGAGCTGAAGAAGCAACTGCCCAAACAAACTGCTTCTGGAATCGGTGCACAACTGCTTCTCGAGTCGTAGGAACTGGGCTCCAATGCTCGATGACGTGATGGTTGGTCCAGTCGCCGTTGGCCAGTGCATCAATGACCGAGCGTCTGACTCGGTCGGTCGCCTCGCACCCCTCGAACAGCATGTCCAAAACCTGCTGGCGATATTCTGTGTGCTGCTGCGGTGGAACACCAACGAATACCTGCACATTGGCAACCATCTTGCGGAGCAATGTTCTGAAATGCTGCATCGCCCCAGGTTGGTTCAAGCTCAACGTGAGATGCACGAGAGAGCTGATATCGTCCTTCATGCAATTGGATGCCTTGCCGATCACGCTGCTGGCGACGTGCACGTGGCAACCAAACCGAAGCTCTGCGCAGCCATCACCAGGACCAGGAGGCCTGTTGAACGCCTTTGCGATGGCAGCATCCTTGTCTGTGGTGGACACATGAACGTGTCGATCGAACTTCTTAGCGAAACTGAAACGAGGCCTCACTGCAGAGAAACAATACTGGTAACACTCAGCAGTCCCACGATCTACACATTGAAGCCACGTTAGCAAATTGAACTTCACAATCAGATAGCGCTGGACGTCACCAACAAGTGCATATGCAACAGCACCCTCCCAATCAGTTTGAACAATCTTCTGTTTTACCGTATCTTCATCGTGCACGTCGGCAATGCTCACCAAGCTCGCCTCGCAGATCTGGCGTTCGTGGCTGAATACTTTGGCAGCTGACCTCGCCCTGGCTCGCAATGGCGTCTCATCGCCACGGGTGCACTCCACGAATAAAACTGCCCTGCCACCGCCAGCGATGATGGTATCAGTCAAATTCCCGATGATCTTCTCCGTGCGCACCCGCTGGACAACGATGGCGCAGCTCGCATAAAGTTCACTGAGGGGCCGAACCTTCTTGTCTGGTGCATTCGCCGCCTGGGCGCGAGACCGATCTGACGCTGTCGGTCCCGTTAGCATGCTCGTCAAAATGCGAACCCCTGACTGGCTGACTTTGCGTTCTGGCATCTCTGGCAATGTCGAAGACAGCCCGAGAAACGATAAGAACTGCTCGGTCTCCTCCAAACGATGTGGCTCTGCACCAGCTTCCCACGCAACTATCTCGAACTTGGGATCGGCATCTTGGCCGACGTCTGGAGGAGCAGCAGCTGCATCGACATCTTGGCCGACGCGTGGAGGAGCAGCAGCTGGATCGGCATCTGGTTGGCCGACGCGTGGAGGAGCAGCAGCTGGATCGGCATCTGGGCCGACGTCTGGAGGAGCCGCAGCTGCGTCGACATCTGGGCCGGCGTTAGATGGAGCAGCAGCTGGTGGATCGTCATCTGGGCTGGCGTCTGGCTCAGCATACATCGAAGCAAACCCGTCGTAATCACCGATTGGGCCCACCAAGCCAGAAAAATTATCGAACGGTGCAGAGTTCGCAGCCATCATAGCATTCGCCATCATCGCAGCATACCCGTTGAAGGCACCTTCGTCATCTGCAGGCATCGAGCCGCACTCTCTGCCGTCGAACTTCGCGAGCGGCAAATTGATCTGAACATGGAGAGCGGTGGCACAACCACCGAACAGAATATGTAAAAGCTTCATATGGACAGCTATTTCATCTCGAAAGATCTGATTGGAAACTGAAGCACAAACGGCTATGGAAACGGTTGCAAGTGACGATGATGCTCCGACAGGATCCCTTGGAACCTGGAACCCAAGAAGCCGCTCAGGACGATCCAGGCGCCCCTGGAACTGCTCTCGCCGAAGCGCAACCCCGACCCCGTCCAGAAACCGCGGCAATTCCAAAAGGTCGGGGTTCGGGCGCAAGAGAAATCGGCGAACTCAGCTAACTGGGACACGACCTACTCTCGGCGAAGCGCAGCCCCTTGGGGGGTCCGAATGGCATCACCTCATCATTTCGGCACACATTTCCTGCATTTGGCGGCCGCATATGGGTCTCTACTGAAGGCCCCAACGTGAGCGTCGTCATGGCAACGCCGCTTATTTCGGCACACCCCTCACGCGGCTCGTGCAGTCGAGCAGAAGTCCCGAAGAAGAAAAATATGGGTTGGCTGAGGGGGTATAGTGCTAAGGCCTTTAATCATGCCGTGGAGTACTTCTTGTCCGCAAGGAGGGGGGGCTGGGGAATTTGTCTTGCCCACAGCGGGGGGCGAGGGGGAAGGGGCAGGAGGAGGAGGAGGGAGAGGGGGGGCAGGAGGAAGAGGATAATAATGATGATGAGGAGGGGGAGGGGGAGGAGGAGGAGGAGGGAAGGAGGAGGAGGAGAGGGAGAAGGAGGAGGAGGAGGATCAACAGCAAGAAAATGAGGAGGAGCAGCAGGAGGAGGAGTTGGTTGGCCCCAGACGGCACGCGGCATCGCGTCTGTGCACATACGTGCGGCGGCCGCTCCCGTGAGACCCGCGCGAATTCATTGATGTCACTGTTGGACTTGTCCACGCCGATGGCCCTATTTTGTTTAATGTTTGGGCTATTGTTTTCCTATTTTTTCCTATTTCCCAAACCTATTCTAATCCTATCGTGGTGCTATTTATTTCCTAATTCCTAACATGCCTCTCTGTCACAGAAGGGTCTTCCACAATAGTAGTAGTAGTAGTAGGAGTAGTAATAGTAGTAGTCGTAGTAGTAGTAGTAGTAGTAGTAGTAGTAGTAGTAGTAGTAGTAGTAGTAGTAGTAGTAGTAGTAGTAGTAGTAGTAGTAGTAATGGTAGTAGTAGTTAGTAGTTCGTAGTAGTAGTAGTAGTAGTAGTAGTAGTAGTAGTAGTAGTAGTAGTAGTAGTAGTAATAGTAGTAGTAGTAGTGTAGTAATAGTAGTAGTAGTAGTAGTAGTAGTAGTAGTAGTAGTAGTAGTAGTAGTAGTAGTAGTAGTAGTAGGTAGTAGTATAGTAGTAGTGTAGTTAGTCAAAGTAAAAGTAAAATTAAACAGTAGCGTGCAAGTAGTACTATGATAACGCTACAACCTGGGGACATTTTTTTTTTTTTTTTTTTTTTTTTTTTTTTTTTTTTTTTTTTTTTTTTTTTTTTTTTTTTTTACCATGTTTGAGCATTTGGCGAATATGTTTTGCGTCTGTCAAATGTGTCGCCCAATCTCCGCCTGTAGGGTGACACGCCCGACCTAACGTCAGGCCGCCTCGCGTGCGCGCGCCGCCCGCGGCCTCCCCGCAGCCGTGCGCCGCCGCGAGCTCCTCGGCGCCCGTGCTGGGCCCGCCCTCGCCAGGGGGCGTCCGCGGAGCACCTCGCCGAGCACGGCGCCAGGATCGGTGAGGTGGCTGGTGCACGTGGCGGAAGATCAACGCACGCCGGAGCCCATGGGGAGGAGGGATGGGGAATGAACAAGCGTGTTCCACCACTCGCAGAGTCGCTACTCGCAAATGGCCTGGATCCGCCGCGGGGAATGTACGATACATTACACAAAAGGCAGACGCATGGTTTTTCGGACGTTTGCGAGTAGGCACTCTGCGAGTAGTGGAGCGCGCTCGGGGAGGGAAGGGGTTGCGGAGACGAGGGCGCTATGATTGGGTATGGCCGCGGGCTGTCGGACCCCGAGGGGGGCTCCCGTTCGAGCGGGGGGAGCCCCGGTCCCACGACGCACGCTCATAGCCTCCCCCCCGGGGCTCCCGCCCCGAGAGATCTGGGGGCCGCACAGGTGTGGGTGCCAGCTGCTGGCCGTCGTGGGCCGGCCGTTCGCGCTCCCCTCCCCTCCCCTCCGGGGCCTTCTGCGCCTCGACGCTGCGCGCGAGGCCGCGACACCAAAGCGTTGTCAGCTCGTGCTCATGCCCCCCCCCACACTTGGCGGCGCGCACAAGGGGGCGGAGGGAGGGGGGAGGGCTTCTTAGAAGCAGGCTGCTTCTTAGACGGCGACAGCCTTACATCTATAGATGAGGCCCGCGCCTTCTGAGAAGCAGGGGTGCTTCTAAGAAACCCTCCCCCTCCCCCCACCCCCCTCTGCGCGTGGCTGACACACGTTGCCCCTGATCCCCCCGGTGGTTTTCCCGAACCACAGTCAACTCCAGCCTCTGGCGGCCGTTCGGGGCGATCCAAGCACCCCCGGAGCCCTCCCAGCAGGGCGCAGCCGCCGAAAAGAGCACGCCGAGGCCGGAAGACCGACGAGAGCCTGCGATGGCGCCCTAAGGCCTCGAACCTCGCACGCCCGAAACGATGCCCCCCTCCGACCTCGGGGACGAGCGGTGAGGAGGAGGAGGAGGAGGAGGAGGAGGAGGAGGAGGAGGAGGAGGAGGAGGAGGAGGAGGAGGCCGCAAGGAGCACCGCTGCCCCGCACGGCCCAACCGCACCCCAGTGCCGGGCGGCACGGCGGAGGGCCGCCCCCCCGCGCACGCCTCGAGGGCCGCCCGCCGCCGAAGCCGCCGCCGCGGTCGACGAGGCTGCCGCCGCCGCCCCCCAGGGTAGGAGACCGATTTCTGACCACACCCACTTCCTGAGGCGCCTTGCGAAAAGCGGTTTCCAGAGGTGGAGGTGGGCAGTTTCCCCGCCCCAGGGGAAGGAAAAACTACCCACTTCCACCCCCGAGGGCCTCTCATAGAATCGGGGATCCAGAGGTGGATGTGGTCAGAAATCGGTCTTCGACAGGGGGTCCCACGAGGTCGCCGCCGCGCCGGGGCCTCCCAGAAGGTCGCCGCCGCCGTCCGCGCGCGACCCCCACCCACGCCCACGCCCCTCGCTCTCAGCGCACCGCCACAGACAAATAAATACACAAATAAAAGGACTCCCCATATTTTCCCATATTTTCTGGGTTTTTATCTTCCCCCCCACTTCCCATATTTTCCATATTTTCCTGGGAGTCGACGATTAATTATGTCTGTGTGTGTCTTTCCCTCCTGACAGCCCAGCGCGCCGTGCGCCCGCGGAGCAGCGACCGCCCCACCTGGAGTCCCAGGTCGCGCCTGCGACGGAGGACGGCTGCCCGGGACGCGCGGGCCAGAGAATTAGACGACACATCACCCGGGTGACTCCAACCTAAGACCCATGGAGGCCCAACCGGAAAGAAAAAAAAAATGGGGCGCGCCGAAGAACCCAGGGGGTCCGGCTTCCGCGGAGGAAAGAAAAAAACCCTGGCGATGGGGTTCGAGCACGGGGGTTACCCCCCCCTCAAATTCCGGAAGAGGAATGAACTCCCAGCCGCGGGGGTGCCCGCGCGAGGGGTCCCACCCCCCCAAGCGCAACCAGAGGAAGAAAAACGTGAGAGCCGAGACTGTAAGTGCAATGCAACAACACCTTAATCGCGGTTGCACTAGGGATTTGTATTAGTACGGGAACAACTGAATTACAGCCGGTGAGGATTGGGTTCGGGTTCGGGCTTATATATTGGGAACCCAGTATATTGGAAACGCAATATATTGGAAACTCAATATATTGGAAACCCAATATATTCGAAACCCAATATATTCGAAACCCAATATATTAGAAACCCGATATACTGGAAACCCAAAATATTGGGGACCCAATATATTAGGAACCCAATACATTGGAAACCCAATGTATTGGAAACCTAATACATTGGAAACCCAATATATTTGATACCCATTATATTGGAAACCCAGTATATTGGAAACCCAATATATTGGAAACCTAGTATATTGGAAACCCCATATATTGGAAACCCAACATATTGGAAACCCACTATCTTGGAAACCCAATATATTGGAAACCGAATATATTGGAAACTCAAGAAATTAGAAACCCAATATATAGGAAACCGACACAGCTGAAACTCAGTATATTGGAAACCCAATATATTGGGAACTTAATATAGGAAACCCAATATATTGAAACCCAATATACTCAGGATTCTTCCAAAAAATGAACGCTAAATAAAGAACAAAGCTTTGTTTTTGTAATGGTTTTTAAACTGTACTAAGGAATTGTAGTAGTACTAGGGAAGTGCACTACAGACTTGCACTAGAAGTTGTACTATTACTCGGGAGTTGCACCAAGGAGTTGCATCAAGGACTTGTACGAGGGAGTTGTACTAGCACTCGGAACTTGGATCAGAGAGTTGTTATAGTACCACTTAAACCGGGGAGTTGTACGGGGGAGTTGTGCTCGGGAGTTGTACCATGGAGTTGTACTAGTACTGGGGATTGGCGATAGGGCGTTGTTCTAGGGGGCACAATTTTACCAGCTGTAATATGATACCAGCTGCACTCGAATATTTGCACGGCAGGACAACGTGCTCTCTAGGAACAACTGCGCGATAGGACATGATAGTACCAGTTGTACTCAAATACGAGTTGTACGGTAGTCGGAGGGGTTCAGGGGTT